GAAGGAAGGAAGGAAGGAAGGAAGGAAGGAAGGAAGGAAGGAAGGAAAATTTTATTATGTGGTGTGGGCATTTTCCCAAAATGACAGTGTACAAATTTGGTCTAGGTTTAATTTCTCACTTGGTTAAGCTTTACTGTGTGAATTATATTTTTTCTATTGATGTCAACAGGAAGTTCCAGTGAATTGGCAATCACCACATTCATCCAATCAACAGTTCAACAGGTCCCAATTACAACTCAGCATACCCTTAATTTTTTTAAAAAGGGATTCAACTAAAAAAAAATCATTGTTTTAATCTTATTTAGCAACCCATGCATATGTAATCAATTGAGTTAATAAAACAATATAAGAATATATTCCAGCACTGCTTTCCAGGTAGTCAAACAAATGCTTACAAGAATGCCACAAATATTAGATTTGCTTTATAAGTATATCTCCCTGCATAAATTTTAAAATCTTGGGGTTTTGTTTTTTTGGTTTGCTGAATGATGAAAAGTGTCTAGTTCTATTCATCTACAACCCTTTTCTGCCCTTTTTCACTTCCTCTGAGACAAGAAAGAATATTAATTTTCAGGCTTAACAGAAGTCTGTCTGGAAACATAAAGAGCTTTCATTTAACTGATGTAATTTATTCTCTCTATAATCTCTGGTACCGCAAAGTCACCAGAAAGGCAAAAAATATAGTTTTAAACTCAAAGAAACAAGAAATGGAAACTGAAAATAGGAAAAATATAGATTTTGTACAATGGAAAATGGGATCTTGTGATGAAATCAAAGAACTCTCAGAGAGAAGATGCCAAATAAATATGACAAACAGCAGAAATCCTATAAATATAGCAGATACCATCTTAGAGAAGATTATGTATTTTTTTAAAAAAAAGCAAATATGTGGGACAGTGTTTCCAGGATTAATTTTTAAGAATCTGGATCAATAACTTACTCAAAATGTCCAACATTCTTTATTTGGATACCTATATACCCAGATGCTTATTTTCAACTTGTCTTCTTGGCTATCCATTGTATTCTCACAAATCTTCTTAAGCACAAGGGTTCAAAAAAGTCAGTCTACCTACTGCATCAAAGCCCAACTTGGTTTTCATTCCCCACATCAATAAAGCGAAACAATCGCAAAGTGAAACTGACTGTACTCTTGATCTGCTTTCCTTTCCTTTAAGTAAAGGTCATAAATATGAGGCTTAGTCACAAAATTCCTTTTTCATCCCCATTAACAACCACTGTAACTATGAATTGTTGTTAACGCTATATATTAATCTATATATGTTTGTTTGTCAAACAAAAGTTACAAATTCAAACCAGCAAAATTAAAAAAATAATAATTAAATGTATTTTAATTTAAATGTGTTAAATGCACATGCCCCAGCAGGGACGTCTTAAATATGAGTGAGATCCACAGAAGTTAAGTTAGAATTAAAAGTGTGAAACTTAATGGCTGAGACAACTAAATTTGGGTTAAGATGTTCCAGACATCTTCGACAACTCTTGTTAAAAAAAACACTATCCAAACCAAGAATTTCAAGCCATAGGGTATTCTATTACAGCAGTCGTGAAACAAGGACTACTTCTATCATCATTACAGGGCAAGTGTATTGATGCTTCTCCCTTCCGTTTTAAAGCCATGTTCATCCTCTTCCAATCTAACTTCCCGCACAATATGTATTCAGCATGTAGGTTGCATAAATAAGAGGAGAGAGCCTGACAACACTTTTGTCAACATGGAACAAGAGTATTCTGTCATGTTGCCGCCCTGTGCATAAATTTTCCGTAAGGATGAAAAGTTATTCTGGGATTCCCATTTTCCTAAGGGACATGGCTGACACAATCCAGGGCCTTTCTATAATCCCTGAATCCTTATAGTCATGATTTATTTTTGGGTATTCTTTGATCTTCTGATGCATCTGTACTAACTCTCTTGTTCCTTGGCTTCTTCTGTAGAAAAGGCTGGGCTAGAAATCGTAATTTAGAATTGTAAGCCGCCCAGATTCCCTTGGCTGAGTGGGGAAAGGGAAGGGGAAGGGGAAGGGAAGAGGGGAGGGAAAGTCAAGTCAAGTCAAGTCCAGATTCAAAATCTCATACCTGTTAAAAAAATCAACTGAATTTGCAATGCAGCCTCTCTGCCTATGTTTCTCCATTTTAGCATTCTCCCTTTTGAACACAGCAGTTTGGTCTAATGATTCAGGTACTGGCCTAGAAACCAAGAGACGATGAGTTCTAATCCCACCTTAGGTGTGAAAGCCGATTGGATGACCTTGGGCCAGGAACGGCTTGCCTCTAGAAGCTGTGGGTGCTCCAACCAGTGTTTTTAAAAAGAGATTGGACAGCCGTTTGTCTGAAATGGTATAGGCTTTTCTGCTTGACCAAGGGGTTGGACTAGAAGACCTCCAAGGTCCCTTCCAACTCTGTTATTCTGGTATTCTTAGGAATGAAAGCCAGCTGGGTAACTTTGGGCCAGTCGGTCCCTCTCAGCCCAACTCACTTCACGGGGTTGTTGTTGTGAGGAAAATAAGAGGAGGAAGGAGTAATTAGGTATGTTCTCCGCCTTCAATTACTTGTAATAAAAACATGGGACCAAAATCTAATAAATAAATAAACGAAATAATACTCAACTGTAAACTTCAACAGGCTTCTAGTACAGAGGTCCCCAAACTTGGCAACTTTAAGACTTGTGGACTTCAACTCCCAGAATTCCTCAGCCAGGAAACCCTAGCATGCTAAAGGAGAATTTCTAATGGCCTTTAAAAAGCTCTTTGAAATGAATAAACGGGGGGAAAAAACCCTGTACTGACAATTTCCTCACTGTAATTCAGTGGTTGGGCTGCTGCTGGTTCGGACCAGTTCTAGAGAACCGGTAGTTCCGATCATCAGCTGATCCTGCCCACCCACTCCCGCCCTATCCTGCCCTGTATTTCCACCTTTCTCAGCTCAGCTGGTTCACACGGCACTGTGGATTTCCACGCCTCAGCTGCTCTACTTACCGCGGCTGCCCTAGAAGGTAAGCTGCTTAGGTTCAAGTTGGTGGTTTTTTTGAACGCCGCGCACGCTCACAGAGCCGCTTGTTAAACCACTTTGCAGCCCACCACCGCTGTAATTCACCTATGATTTCCCAAAGGTAGAACTTCTGATGGTATAAATGCTAACGAAAAAGCCTCATGAGACTTGCTTCATCACAATGTGTTCCCTTTGGGGTTTAGGGCATATTTTTTTCTGGGTGGAAAATAATACATGTACCCCGTGATGATGCAGAAAAATGGAATAAGCCTCCTTCTAAACATGAAAAGCCAGAATATAAATCAACGGGGATTTTAATATTCAATCATCAGGAAAAAAAAACAACTCCAAAAACTCTGCAAAGGATTTTAAGAGTTCGCAACCGATGTATCGAAGTGGGTCTTCTGAAACTAATAAGAGATGGATTTTAAATGAAATTTGTTTTGGTGGAGCGGGATGTTGCTCCAAAGAATAAAATTCAGGCAGGGTTCCAGCCATTGATGAGGCTGCAAACCTGTCACTGCAGAGGCACGGCCTGAATTAATGAGCAAGACAAGACAGATGGCGAAAACTTGAAGGAAGTTGGCTACCTGCCTCTTGGATTAGGAATCACATTTCAGAAGAAATTCAGAAAAAGGGAGAGAGGGTGGGTGGATGGAAAGAAGGAAGAAAGGAAGATGAAAAGGGGAAGTAAGGGAGGGGGAGGGAAGGAAGGAAGGAAGGAAGGAAGGAAGGAAGGAAGGAAGGAAGGAAGGAAGGAAGGAAGGAAGGAAGAAGGGAGGAAGGAAGAGAGGAAGGAAGGAAGGAAGGAAAAAGGGAGGGAAGGAAAGAAGTAAGATAAGAAGGGGAAGGAAGGGAGGGAGGAGGAGGGTGGGAAGGAAGGAAGGAAAGAAAGAAGGAGGAAGGGAGAGAGGGAGGGAGAGAAGGAAGGAAGGAAGATAAGAAGGGAAATGAAGGAAGGGCAGCAAAGGAGAAGGATATTTGTGCAAACAGGTCAAAGTTGAAACAGCACTTCATAAATATATACAAGTTAAATATATATGATATTACTGTATTTTGTGCACGGAGAAATATGTACTCAACTGACAACTGTGGAACAGAAAGAAGGCTTTATGTTTGTTTTTGTTGTGATAAAAATAAAAAACTTTTATTTAAAAAAAAAAAGAAACTGCACTTTAATATCGCTGTTAAATGTTTGTCCCACCTTTGGCATGTTGATAACCAAATGTCCAGTAGTCTGAGATCTTTTAGCAATGCTGCTATCTGGCTTTACTTCTTCAGGTAGCACAAGTTGAAATGCCTTTAAAAAAAAAACACCCAACAAATCTTTGAGGTAGCTCAGACCAAAGAGCACTAACTCTATTACCTGCCATTATTTTCTTTTATTTTTTTACTCTCCTGAAAATCAGAGAGGATCCCTTCATTTTTTCAGTTTTATACTGCTTTTGTTCTGTCTGTTTATCAATCATTTTTTCTATATCTATCTATCTATCCATCTATCTATCTATCTATCTATCTATCTATCTATCTCGATCTATTATATAGCATCTACATCTATCATATCTATCAATCTATCTATCGATCCATCCATATCTCTCTCATTTATCCTATCCATCTCTCTCTCATCTATTCTATCTATCTATCTATCTATCTATCTATCTATCTATCTATCTATCTATCTATCTATCTATCTATCTATCTATCAAATTTAAATAGTTGCCCATATCCAAAGGTGATTCTAGATGGTGCATAATGAATAAAATCCCATATAAAACCACACACACACAGATATGCAGAAATTACATTAACAGTAAATATTGTAACACAGAGATACAAACCTTAGGCAAAGGGTGAAAAATAATAGACAGCTCAGCAATGGAGCTTGTCTCCGGTTCCCTGAGAGCCTCAGGGCCATTAACCTATCAAGGTCTTGAGGGCCTTCCAGCATACCTAAAGGGATGGAGCTAGCCTCATTTTGGAGAGAAGAATGCTCCCTAAAGTGAGTGCCGGAGCACAGAAGGCACATCTCCTGGGACCTACTAAATGTAGGTCTCTAGCTGATGGTACCGGCAGCATGCCTTCTCTAGCAGATCTAATGGATAGAGAGGGAGGGGGAGAGAGGGGGGTAGAGGGAAAGTAGCTCATCCTCATGCCATGAAAGGCTTCGTAGGTTAAAAAAAGCACCTTGAATTGGACCTGGAAACAAACTGGCAACCAATGCAGCTTGTGGAACAGATGTGTCACATGTGCTACTCTAGGAATTCAAGTAACTGCTCAGGCTGCTGCATTCTGTACTAGCTAAAACTTTGGATATTTTTCAAGGGCAGTCCTAGGTAGAGTGCACTGCAGGAGTCCAATATGGAAGTGACTAGGTCATGTGTCAACGGTTGATGGTACTGAAGACCTCCGAGGTCTTGCAACCTTTGCAAATTTCCTTCCCTGTTTAAGCTGCAAGCTGCTCCCTATTTGAATGCAGCTTTGATTCCTCTATCCATCAGTTCTGAAGGTCTCACACAATGCTGATTAGGAGGAGTCAGAAACTGGCAGAAGGCCCTAGGAAGGGAAAGGCTATTGTATATGATAACAGAATAACAGAGTTGGGAGGGACCTTGGAGGTCTTCTAGTCCAACCCCCTGCTCAGGCAGAAAGCCCTATATCATTTCAGACAAATGGTTGTCCAATCTCTTCTTTAAAGCTTCCAGTGTTTTATTTAAGTGTTTCCAGTGTTTTATTTAAGTGTTTCCAGTGTTTTATTTAAGTGTTTCCAGTGTTTTATTTAAGTCACAACTTCTGGAGGCAAGTTGTTCCACTGATTCATTGTTCTCAGGACATTTCTCCTTAGTTCTACGTTGCTTCTCTCCTTAATTAGTTTCTATCTATTGCTTCTTGTTCCGCCTTCAGGTGCTTTGGAGAATAGATTGACAAGTGGCTTTCCAGTCCCTTCTTAAAAGCCTCCAGTGAAGGAGGCTTTTATTCATAAGTTTTAGCCTCCAGTCCCCTAATCATTGTTATTGCTCTTCTCTGCACTCTTTCCAGAGTCTCAACATCTTTTTTTTATATCGTGGCGACCAAAACTGGATGCAGTGTGGTCTTACTAAGTGTGTGGTCTTACTAAGGCTTTATAAAGCAGTACTCATACTTCACATGATCTTGATTGCTAATGCAGCCTAGGATTGCAGTGACACGATTGTCTCTCTGCCTCTTCAATGTCTTTCTTACAACCATACAGAATCAGAATGGCAGAACTGGCCTCCTTATAGGAAGCCCACATCATAAAGTGAAAACAAATCCAAATGAAATAGGCTTTGAAAAAGAAAAAAAAATAATGACAAATAATGCAAACCTTTTCTTTGACCATTACCCGGACATAAGTGGGCTGCACATCAACATTAAGGAAGGAGATGTCCAAATGTCTGGAAGAGAAAGGGAGGAGATAATTTAGCTTAGCACTTCTCTGGTCCCTGAACCCCAAAGATGCCTTTTTCAAGAAACTAATGGACATTCTGGGTTTTCTTTGAAGACGCTTCTCTTCTCATCCAAGAAGTTTCTTCAGCTCTTCCCTATCACCCAGTCGGAGCTGAAGAAGCTTCTTGGATGAGAAGCAAAACGTCTTCAGAGAAAAACCAGAAAGTCCAGTTGCCTCATGAAAAAGCACCTTTGAGACAACCATGACCTGGATGACTGGGAATCTCCATAGACATCTGTTTCCCGAAGTCCCATCAAAAGCAGAGTGATGTACAGGTACATAGTTCAAAAGATTGGGTGTAATCTTTTATTTAACGCAAAATTATATTTCTTCTTCTTCGCTCCAGCTGTGAACGAAAAGCCGAATCAAAATTCACAGCCTACCTAAAACAGTCTCAGAAAAAGAGCCAATAAAACAAATCCTTCTGACCTGTAAACACCAAGATCCAAGATGAACCGGTTGTTTTCTTCGTCATCTTCCAAGGAGAAAGGAAGCCTAGAAATAATAGAAGCAAGATCTGGGCATGACAGACTGGACTGGATGAAGGGCAGGGTCAAAACTTCAATTAGTTGTGGTTTTGTATTCAAGATGGGAGGATCTACAGCAGTTAGCAAGATACACATCCTTCCCCAAATAGATTTGCAAAATCTAAAAAACCGGCTAATGTCATAAAATCCAGGGCTGTGTTTCATTTGAAACATGATGCGATGCGTAGCATAAGTTCCACATGATTCAAAGCTACACATTTGTGCAGAAAGAGAGACATCTACTGGCAAAAAAACTTAATTAACTAATCTTTGTATTATCATCCATGCATGTTATCATTCTCCTTTCCTCCCTCCCTCTCTCCCTCAGTGTGTGTGTGTGTATGTGGGTGGGTGTGGGTGGGTGTCTAGAGTTATGTAAATAATACATAATTAATGTTTTAGAGATTATTATTATTTAAATTATCTAACCTTGCACTAAATCTGAGCTGTTCCAGTTTCTAGACAACCCTATTGTCATACATCAGCAACTACTAAGTATGTTCCTCTTGGCTTCTAGGTGCTCACTAAGAAAGGATTTTTCGAAATGACCATCAGAGCGTTAGCATTTCCTATATTATTATTAACACGCTCTGATGCTAAGGAGTTCTACTCCTCTTCCCCACCTGAAAAGAAATCTGTTCCAAATGCAAAACCCAAGGAGAGGAGAGGAGTTTCAGTTTCAGAGCAGCAAGCAGCTTTAGTACACAACAGTTGAGCTAAGCAATGCCCAGGCTCCTTGCTGTCTCCTCCTTGCTCACACAGCAAATACTCTTTCAGTTTCTGAAACAGTGTGTGTGTGTGTGTGTGTGTGTGTGTGTGTGTGTGTGCATTATATGATATAATATGATATATTACATGACATGACATGACATGACATGACTGTTAGGGATAACATTGTTTACCCTAACTGGTTTGGGTAAAAATAATAAATAAGGTATCATGGTTTGTTAGT